GACTTGGGGACGCCTGGTGTTCTTACCTTGAATCTGTATGTAAGTGGAACTGGTGTCCAGTTTCAGCCGCTGTTGAAATTGATCAGTTTCAGCAGCGGCTGAATCTGGACGCCAGTTCCGACTTACATACAGATTCAACTTAAGAACAAACCTACAGTCCCTATCTTGTACGTAACCCGGGGACTGCCTGTACCTTCCTACTCCTTATCAGTATTTTCATACATGCAAGGATCACATGAGCTCTCCTAGCCATAGCATCATGCTCGGCGCTGTTGAAATTGATCAGTTTCAGCAGCGGCTGAATCTGGACGCCAGTTCCGACTTACATACAGATTCAACTTAAGAACAAACCTACAGTCCCTATCTTGTACGTAACCCGGGGACTGCCTGTACCTTCCTACTCCTTATCAGTATTTTCATACATGCAAGGATCACATGAGCTCTCCTAGCCATAGCATCATGCTCGGAGCTCCTGTTCAGCTGATTATCCCCAAATTCTTTTCTGTTAGTTTCCGTAATGTAGCCCCATATCCTGTGTAATCTCCATTCTTTGTCCCTAGGTGGTCATCTGCAAATTTTCCCAGAATATTTTTAGATCCCCCCCCCCCCCCCCCGCTAGTTAGCAATGATTTCAAGAACAAATACCTGAACACATTCTTTGGAGAGCAAGTGACAATAGTACATTTTTAGATTTGTTATGTAATGTGGTGGTGTGATTGAGTGTTTATGCATCTGACAAAATAGGAACATTGGTCAAGGTTAATAGTGAAATCCCTGAAAACTGCAGCTCAAGGTTACTCTTATCTAGTGAGTTCTAGGTACACACAGAGGTTGACTTAAGCTATGATGAAAGCAATTTCTTTCTACAAAGGTTGATGTTTCGTTCATTTTTTTTGCTAATATGTGTGTAATTCATTTATTGATTTCATTGGAACTGAATAATCTTTTCTAGACAGGCAAGCATACTTTAATTAGCTTATGTGTTAAGCCAGTAACTGTTTCAACATAAAAAATAAATTGACTCTGAGTCCATGATGATGTCAGCAAATGTTGATGTTTTGTTCAGGTAGAGAGATGGATATGATTTGAGCTAACATTTAGAGGGGCTTTACATTCTGTGGACTTTGAATTTTGTTTATTTTTTGTACAGTAAACTTCCGATAATCCGACACCTTTAGGACCCAGGGGGTGCCGGATTATCAGATTTGCCGGACTATCGGAAGGGGGGCTATGAGGGGTCTGTGGTGGGGGGGATGCCATCCCAGACCCCTCATAGCCCCCCCTTCTGATAGTCTGGCTCTGCCCCAGGCGTCCCTGATTCAGCTGCTGCTGGCCAGTTTCAGCAGCGGCTGAATCTGGGACGTCTGCAGCAGAGCAGCTGGAGTGCTTCCGGGTTGGTCCGGTGGCGCCGACCCTTGGTGCGGTGAGACCAGCCTGGCAGCACCCCAGCTGCTCTTGGGAATGCCTGGGGCAGAGCAGCTGGGGTGCTGCCGGGTTGGTCCCGCAGCGCCGCTCCTCGGTGCTACTGGACCAACCCGGCAGCACCCCTGCTGCTCTACCCCAGGTGTCCCCAAGTCAGCCACTACTGAAACTGACCAGGGGCTGATTCCAGGAAGCCCGGGGAAGAGCAGCTCTGCCTCTGGCTTCCTGGAGTCAGCTGCTGGTCAGTTTCAGCAGCAGCTGAATCGGGGACAGCTGATGCGCTGCTGGGTTGGGTCCCGCAGCCCCGAGGGGCAGCGCTATGGGACCAACCCGGCAGCGCCCCAGGTGCTCAGCCCTAGGCGTCCCCGATTTAGCCGGTGGTCAGTTTTAGCAGCGGCTGAATCGGGGAAGCTGGGGGCAGAGCAGCTCCAATGGTCTGGCTGCCTGGAGCACTTCCGGTTTCCTGATGGTGCCGGACCATCAGGAGTTCCAGACCATTAGATGCCAGACCATCGGAGTTTTACCGTACTACTCTCAGAGCCTTTCCCCAAGCTGCTTTGAATTTTTAGTTTTCCCCTGTCAGTTTCTCTGACAGCAGCATTAGCATTACTTTTGTTGGTGTAATCAAGATATTGCTGCTCACATTAAAATATATTTTTCTAAAAGCTATCCAAATCCATTCAGTTCAAAATTATTTCCTTTAATTGTTTAAAACTTTCATGAAATTGTTCCTGTCACAGATTTTTTTTTCCTCAGACTTTTTTGTTTCATGCAGTCTTTCCACTTCTTGTGTGATAATCTTATTTGCAGAAATTATTTGTCTGAAATATCCTTTTTGTAGTTCAGTTAGTCTTCATGCTCCTCCAGATATCATCTGAAGGCTGTATTTCGTCCTTTGTCCTTGTAAATTTATTTTTTGCTGTTTAACTCTGTATTTTGGAATTTGATTTATGATAAATGCTATATGAGTTAAAGTTGCATTGTTTTGCAGAAAAGAATAAATGACTGAATTAATGAAATGGTTAATTTTTTTCTATTTATCTTACTGTTGCTTTTGTGCTGTACAGGCCACTAGGTTTACCTTGTCTAATCCCACAACAAATATTTTTCATCATTGCTGTGTACTTGGTTAAATCAAACTCTGTTCATTTAGCTTATTGATTGTCAAGGACAGAACACCATTAATTTTACAAGTAAAAGGAAGGGCTATTTATAAATACCTCCCTTGCTAAGCATTGTCTCTGGTAAAATAGTCCAGTAACTTGGGAGAAATCCAAATACTTCTTGTACCTGTTAAATAACATTTACTTTTTACTGTTTAATGAAGTATGGGACCTTGAGCTTTGTTTGTGGAAGATGACCTGTTACTATGCTGCATTGAACCTTGTCTGGTTTCATCAGGGTTTGCTAGTTGGCAAGAACTGTGTGGGGTTGGTTGTGTGTGTGGTGGTGTTTTTTTTTTTTTTTTTAAAGCTCTTAAATACCCCTGACTATTAACACAGATGACAGTATCCTCGTGGATGTGTCTTGATTGCAACAATACTTATGTGTATGGCAAAACTAACACTTTTCACTGATGCTTTACAGCATTAATATACAATTCCAGTTAAATCTAGGGAACAAAGTATCCAAACTGATGTGTGGGAAGGATTGTTTGTGATGGAAAATTATCTCTTGAGAGAGGTTTTGTGTGTGTTTGTAACAAAAAATAAAATTACTACTGAATTTGAACTTTGAAGTTTACAGGAGAGTAAGAAGGGCCCAGTGTTTAGGGAGGAAGTCTGAATCTCAGTAAACCTGGGTTTCCCACTCTTCCTGTGTGACTTTTGGGCAAGTCACTTAGTCTTTCTTCTTCAGTTCTCTGTGAAAGGGGGGGAGTGACAACAAAACTCTTCTATCTCAGAGGGGTGTTGTGAAGATAAATTCATTAACAATTGTGAGACAGTCACATATGATGGTAGTTATATAAGTAATTTATAGTGTCTTCACTGCAAAGAGAAACCTGTGACATGGAGTCTGAGCCTAGG